TTCTGCCAGGGGGTGTGTGTGGGATGATACATGGACTGTGTGAAGGGACCAAACACGGGTGTGCTGCACAGCACCCGGCACAGTCGAAGACGGTCTCAGCACATACTGTAATGTGGTGATACGTAATAATAAGCCAAGGAGTGGCACTAAAACTCTGCAAATTGAGGCCTGTTAGGGATTAAGGTTTTCCAGAGAGAGAAACAGGAGATGGTGGGTGTGCCTGCAGCTTGCTGTCTGAGGATTGCCAGATCCGGGGAGCAGAGGCCCCTGCAGAGGCAGTCATGTTCACGCTCAGCAGTAGCTCAAGCCCCGGGGCCTGCTGAGTGTCTGGGAGTGGCACGGGCCCTTGGGATGGGCTCACGCTGCTGGCTTTGACTGGGATAGGGTTAGTCATCCTCACAGTAGCTAGTGTGAGGCTGTTTTGGATGTCTTGAGAAGAATATTGGTAGCACACACATGGTTTTAATTGTTGCTAAGGAATGTTTATGTCAACGCAAGGATGTTTTCAGTTTCTGATCCTGCCCGTGTTCCCAGCTGCTTCTCTACGAGAGAAGCTGTGAGGGGACGCAGCCAGGACACCTGACCAAACTGACCAAAGGGCATTTTGTGCCATCAAATGTCATGCTCAGCATGTGAGTTGGCTGGGGACCATGTTTGTTGGCTTTCTCCTTCGCTCTCGCTCGGTGGCTCTCTGTCTCTCACTGGGGCTTGTTCTGCCTCTGGTGCAATCTCTTGCTCACTGGGGCTCTCCACCTCTGGCTACTTGGGACTTGGCTAGGCCAGGTCCTGAGGTAAACCCCAACAGCATGCCTGGCTGCTCTCCCACTGTTTTATCACCAACAGCTTCTGAGACCTGACTCGCTCCGTGCTTCTCCTGCAGGGCTATGTGGCTTTGGAGGATTATGACTCGTCAGAGTATGATCCGCTTTTCCTGAAGACACGCACAGACTGCTGGAAGGTGTGATGGTTATTTCTGCCGTGAGGTGTAGATGTACCCCATCACCAGCAAGAAGTTAACGGTTAGAGGAGGCAGGGTGCGTTACTGCCGTGCTGCTGTGGGACAGGAGAAGAGCATCGTTCTTGTTTTATGAACCAAGCAAGCACCGATCCCAGCTCCATTTAAGCCCAAGAGTGTTTGAAAAGGGTGCTCACCGGGAACATCATGGTTTGGATCCATACTAAGCCCAGATTTGGGGACACAGCGGTGGGAGGGAGGTTTGTTTTCCTCATCTCAAATCCATTGTGGCAGCATGGGAAGCATCCGGTCTAACGTGGGCTGGTGAGCTCCCAGGCAAGCTGGGTGTGTGCTCCGCAGAACGAAATCATCTGACAGTTCAGGTGATCTTTACAGAAGCTCACTCAGATGCACCAAAGGCTTGGGTACCTAAGGGAAGGTAGTACTGGGACACAAATCCATGAAGTGCAATTCTCTCGGTCCCTTCTGGATGCTGTGAGCCTTCAGCAGCTGCGGGGACTGAGCTGCCACTTCACTGCAATGTGCCACTCCGGGTTCATCAAGGTCAGCTGCCTCCAGGAGGTCCGATCTCCTGTCTGTGCTCTGACTTTGCAGCAGAGCTGTTGAATGTGTTACGGCCCTTCTCAGGAGCCGAGATGCTCAGCATCTCTCAGACCACTCCGGTCTGAGCCTCCTTGTTTTATTTTTTCTTTCCCTGCTAACCAACAGTACCTTGACGTTCACCTCTGACTTCGGTCTTGCGGGACTCTGACAAAGTGCTTGTGCAAAGCGTGAGAGAACTGTCTCTGTCACAGGTTTCAATACCAGCTTTACAGGATCCTCTGTTAAAAGGCATTCGAAGAAAGCTGATTGAGACAGGCATCGTCAAGCAGTGCGAGACAGGTATTTTAAACAACTGGTATCCCTTGGGAGTGTTTCATACTGGGGGCCATCCTTGCCTGTGACAGTAGGTGCTCACACAACGCACTTCTTGCTTCCCTGCCAGGCAGACCGTGCTCTGCCAGAGAGCTGAACGAACTCAGTAGAGCAAAACTGCCACTGCTGCCTTTGAGCCGGCAACGTATGGATGCGGTTGAGTGGCTGAAGATACCACACGCCTACATCGCCAGTGAGGTCCACCAAACGAAGAGGTAAGAGTGATTGTTTCTCCTGGGAAAGCCTTCGGGCGTGGAGTGGACAGCAGGATGTATTAGAGCATGGATGGTCATGCTGAGCCTTGAAATAGTGGGTTTTGGTGGGGAGTTGCCTGCATTCTCCACATGCAGCCTGGCAGCCAGCCCTCCAGGTCAAGCCATGGAACATGTCCTGGCTGCTTTACTGGAAGAACTGAAAGGATTTAATGTTCATATCTGCTTTGGGTTTGGGATTTTTTTTTCCATTAGTTTCCAAATTTTGGGAGCAGAGTGAGGTCATACTTAGTGTCACAGGCTGGTTGAGCTTGGAAGGGACCTCTGGAAATCACCTTGTCCACACCCCTGATGCAGCAGGGCTGCCTAGAGCCAGCTGACCAGGACCATGTCCAGGCAGCTTTTGAGTATCCCCAAGGATGGAGATTGCACCACCTCCCTGGGCAACCTGTGCCAGTGCTCCGTCACCGTCGTAGTCGAAGAGTGTTTCCTGATGACTGTAGGAAACCTGTAGTGTTTCAGTGTGTGCCCATGGCCTCTGGTCCTGTCACTGGGCACCACTGACACGAGCCTGGCCTCGTCCTCTTTGTGCCCTCCCTCCAGGTATTGCACACACCGCTGAGATTCCCCCTGAGCCTTCTCGTCTCCAGACTACATGGTCCCGGCTGTCTTGGCCTTGTCTCATGTTTGCTCCTTTGACTGTGGAGGCTGTGTCCTGGCTCAAGCCATGGGGCTGCTCCTGGGAAGGAGAAAGCTGCATCCTATAGCTAAGCTTCAGAAGAGGGTTTTGTTGTTGTTGTACAGGCTGGTTGGACTGAAAATACAGTAGAGCTCAGTAGTGATGAACCTGAGCAGGGATGCAGCTGCCCAAGCTGAGAAGGCAGGAGGGCCCCAGCTGGCCTGCCCCAACAGAGAAGCTGTGGGATCAGCAAGGGTCTTTTTTTTTTAATTATGATGATGCTGTTTCACAGCCCCAGCGCTCTGGTTCAGCCCGTTCAAAAGCTCTCTGGTTCTGCCATCGCAGCACACAGCTCGAGGGAGCTCCTGCTCCCGGTGACAGGGTGGTCAAAGCTGAACTGGGAGCTTGATATCCTCCCTCACCGGGCCCACTCGCTCTCCCCAGCCCCACTCTCTCCCTCCAGCTCCTGCCCTAGAGCTTCACACCTCTTACAGGCCCAGGGCTTTACTCCAGCATGTTCACAGCAGCGGTGGGACATGGCACTTTCTAGAAGGAGAACTGGTCACAGACGTTTGCTGGAGTAACTCAGTGTGGGAGGGAGCTGGTGCAGGAAGCTGTGCTGGGCTACGCCGGCCTGCGTGTTGCGTCGCCTGGCAATAATCTTAACTTCTGTTTAAAGGCAGAAAGTTACCAGCCACCGCAAAGACGGCAAGAGCCAAGGATGCCACCTGTCCTCCAGCTGACCGCAGCGGCAAGCGCAGCGTCAGAAGGTACCGTTTGCAAAATAGGTTACATCATCTGCCAAAGCAAGTGATCACAGGCCGGGTCGTCTGGCAAACTGCAATAAATTAATAATAAACATGTCCTAAACACGTGGTTCTGAAGTACTGTTACCCAGCAGCCAAAGGAATGTGTGAGGTGCTGCTCCTGCTATTTCCAGCTCTGGAAGGCTCCTGCTATTTCCTTGCTCTGCAGGCCAAAACCCACTAGTTTTGGAGGTTCAGCTTAGGCTCAGCTCTACAAAGACAGTGCTGATAGTCTCTGGTTTACAGGGTGATGGAGTCTTTGTATTAAAGGAGATGAATTGGTGGGACCCCACCTGGCGTGCTGCGTCCAGCTGTGGAGCCCTCAATATCAGAAGGATACAGACCGGTTGGAGCGAGTCCAGAGGAGGCCACGAAGATGCTCAGAGGGCTGGAGCACCTCTGCTATGGGGACAGGCTGAGAGAATTGGGCTTGTTCAGCCTGGAGAAGAGAAGGCTCCGGGGAGACCTTATTGCACCTTCCAGTGCCTGAAGGGGGCTCCAAGGAAGCTGGGGGGGACTTTTTACAAGAGCCTGTAGTGACAGGACAAGGGGTAATGGGTTTAAATTGAAAGTGGGGAGGTTTAGATTAGATATCAGGAAGAAGTTCTTCCTGGAGAGGGTGGGGAAGCACTGGGACAGGTTGCCCAGAGAAGCTGTGGATGCCCCATCCCTGGAATTGTTCAAGGCCAGGCCGGATGAGGCTTGGAGCAACCTGGTCTAGTGGAAGGTGTCCCTGCCCATGGCAGGGGGGTTGGGACTAGATGATCTTTAAGGGCCCTTCCAACCCAAACCATTCTGTGATCCTATGAAAAGTTAAGGAGGTCTGCTGGGCCCCTCTTGTGTGCAGTGCAGAATCTGTATGTCATCCCCAGCTCTGGCCGCAGCTATACAGCCGCAGCCCGCTGGATTACTACAGGGAGTGTGACTGTAGGCAGTGAGCAGAGGGAATGGCAGAGCTTGCAAAATGTTAGCTAGTGCAATTGTGCGTGAAGCTGAAAGAGGTCGAGCCCTCTCTTCGAATGAGGAGGAGGAGCTCCTGGCTGTGTGCGTGGTCAGTGGATGGGTGCAGAAGAGCGGCTCAGAAAGCACCGCTAAGGAAATAATGATTCGGGTTGGTTTGTTCAAATCTTTATCCCAAGTCCCATGGTGAATATCTTGCAAAATATTATTTGCAAAATAGCATTAAGCTACTGGGACGGTTTCAAAGGGCTTTCTCCTAGAGGCAGTGTACAAGCAGCAAATCAAACTGTAAACATATAGATGGATTGTTCTGAGACAGCAGGAGAGAATTCGGGGAGAGGAGATGGTAAATGTCCTTGTAGAAAACGTCTGGCACTTTTCAGAGTTGGTGCTGAGCAACAGGGGCCGTCATTGCCCAACCGAGGGGCTTCCCCGGTGCGGTCCCCGTCTCCCTGCTAGTGGGGCTGCACAGCAGCTCTGGTGCCAAAGCCGGAAAACCCCATTTTCTCCGCTTCTTCAAGAAGCTCTGAACCCCCCTGGGTACAGCCACAATCTCCCAAGGGTAGCCAAGATTCAGTTTTATTCGGGGTTAGAAATACCGAACTGCAGAAAGCTGTTACGGTCACGGCGGCTGCCTGAGCCCTGCAATGGGGGGCACAGAGCCGGCGACGGGTCCCCAACCGCCAGGCAGCGGGAGGTAGGGCTGTGCCCGGGGAAAACGGGGGGCACGCCCCATTGCATGCTGTGCTTTTTCAACAAAGCAGTTTAAGGAGGCAGTAAAATGGTTACAACGTATCAAATCCTTTATAAACGAACTTTTTTTTTAACCATCCCTGATTTTGGTGCTGAGAGAAAGTTTTTGTTTTCCATCAGTCTCGCGGTACAGATTCGCGTGGGGTGACAGCTGCCCCCAAACAAACCTTTTAACCTCATAATAAACATCTCTGAAGTAAATCCTGTAAGTTTTTCTCCTTATTTCACATTCCCCTGTACAATAAAATATACTTCTTAAAAAATCACTATGCAGCCATAAACATCTGTAGACAAATTACATCAATAAACTTCTATTTTACTCTCTATGTACATGTTGGCAATGTCAAAGCTTCAAGATTCACATGGAGGTCTGCGAGACCACGGAAATGTACACGAATAACTTACCTTTAGGGAAAAAAACAAAAGCTGAGGGATATTTTTTCCACATTAGTGTGGGTCACAGTATTTTTTTTTCTCGTTATTCTTCACAACCACATTGTCTCAGCAGGGAACGATGAGCCAAACTGAAGCAGAAAGAAAAATCGAGTAGCAGTTACTGATTTCAGTGCAGAGCTAAGTCAAGTGAAGAACTACACCTGATTCTTAAAGAATGTACAATATATCGGAGACTCCTCCAGTGCTAAGGCTTCTTCAGCATTTAATCTTTATCATCCTGAGAAGGGAAGATTCCAGTGGATATCACTTTTCAGATTTCAAATGGAATGATTCTAGTGCAGAGCTAAACCATTCCTCAGTCTCTGTGCTAGACCAAGTGGTAAAATACACCGTATACGTCCATCGCGATGCCACATTTCTCCTTCATACTTCTTATGGCCCTGAAAATGGAAAGAGCGGCATCCGAAACCAAGAAATTCCATAAAAAGGCACTGAGCTACAGTACTGTATATACAGCAACATCTGTGTTTGCATAGATCAACAACAACTTCCAACGCTGCGAGGAGCTAAACGCAACCAGTAACTCGAAGGAAATATGGAAGCAGCAGGAACTCTCGCGGAATAACCAGCGTGGGGCAAGGAATCTTTGACAAAAACAATGTGCAGGCTGTCAGCTTCAGTTGTCCTTCATAACTTAAAAAAAGCGTTCTTAGAGGAGTGTTTTCTGATCAAAGAGCTGCAGGTCAAAACGGACCCAGACTTCTCCTGTTGGAACTTCGTGCAGCAGTAAGTGTTTTGTCGTGGGGCCTTTGCTTTCTTGTTCTGTTCTGATTTTTGCTACTGGAACTTCCGTGCGACCCAAAAAATCTGTTGGGCAAGGGAATGAGAGATTTGATTAAGGAAAGACGTTAAGCTTAGAAAATCCAAGAGGGTCAGGTTAAGCAGCGGCGTTGCACAGCGTGTACTCAGTTCTGTTGGACTAGCCCTTGGCCCTGCGTGCGTCAGCCAGCACAGACAACAAGGGGTCTCCTTAGGAGACAAAGTGCTGTGGAATTAGGATGGAAAACATGCCCTCATGTCACAGTCTGATCTAAGGGCTTTAAAAACACAGTTCCCTTTCAGGAACACAATTTCAAATGTTCTGCTGTCTTACAGCTGGAAGGTCAGAGTGAAGTGATGGAACCTGTTTGTAAGTCAGCCAGCTGCGGTGCCACGAAGACAATAAAAAAATCAACCGTTTTGGCTCAGCCAACTTTTCATCAGGCTTATGTGTCATTCTTTTCGCAGAACCATGATCTTGAAAAGCTACTGCCAGTCGTAGGGTTACAGTCCCATTCGGAAACGACCCACCCTCTTTGTGGCCCTTCCATATACAAACATCTGTGTGTTTGCGTGCGTTAAGAACCTCA